AGTTATATCTTCCATCTCTCTGATTGTTTAGATAAGATTTTGTATATATGTAACTCCTCTATCTATGTGTGCTGTGAATATATACGTTTTTTAAAACGCAGTTATCTGTTATAGTAAAGTTTTCAGATGTTCATGAAAGGTATGAAGCCTTCGGCATAGCCGAAGACAGCGCTACTCTTACTTGTTTTACTATAGGATGAACTATGTTTTAACAAGAAATTTGCGGAAAGAATTAAATTCAACCATTTTGCTGAGCTTGAAGCCGGTTTTAATAAAAATTATGGTGGGAAAATAACAATAGTTTTACAAATGGCAGAAATTATAGCTGCTATTTCGGAGATCACCACATCACCTCTAGACGAATCTGCCGTAAATATCGGTTGGTCTCACGGGCAGTCGTTATCGCATAAAATAAATGAGAACGAACAGTGATTAGTATATACAGTTGCCAGATGTAGTGATTTTATCAGTACAGTACTGATTTTACAACTCTTGTACTGATTTTATTCATTTCTTCAATCAGTACGCAATTCAAACAAAATACTTTAGGATTTTCTTAAGGTTTTTACATAACGCTGGGCAGTGTTGCCACTTCGGCCTTTTTCAGGCTAAATTTAGCTTTTTTTGAATGCATTTAGCCTCAAAATAAGTGATTTAGCTTTTAGCTTTTTTTTAAGCTTTTTCTTAATTTCATTTGGCCTTTTCTAGCCGTTTTTCTTTTTTCTTACTTAAGTTCTTTATTGAATCGATATTTAGAAAATAATATATATATCATAAAAAAATGTGTTATGGTAACTCTAAAAATAGTAATAGATAAATAGATATCACAGAAAAATTTGTTTATGGTAACTCTGAAAATAGTAAGCACAAAAAAGTTATCGACTATCGTACAGCACAAACCGGTTTGCATATTACTATTAGTTAGCATTTTTTAACTGGGTGGCATCGGAAAAGAGCTGTGCTTTGTACTACGAATTTTTTAATTTTAACCTCAACCAATGGATAGGTAAATTTCACTAGATCTCAAATTGTATTGTCTCTTTTAATGGTTTTTTTGTTGAAGATATTTGACGAAGCGATCGGTTGATGAAATTTCGCATGAAAGTAGCGCCAGTGATTTTGATTGTGAAATACATACATATGTCTACTTTATAAAATTGAAATTTTCAGAGCAACTACAACGCTAAAAGTAAATCCTTTAAATTTTTGTATCATGGTTATGTACATATAAAGATTTATGCCAAATTGTTATGTTTGAAACTCAATAAATTTGAAAAAGAAAGCAAAAAATTATTTTTTGTTTTTAGCTTTTTTTTAGCTCGAAAAAAAATAATTGCCTTTTTTAGCCTTTTTTGGAGACAATCTAGCTTTTTTCTTCAAAATATTCTGGCAACACTGACGCTGGGACTTCCTTAACCTGTACTGTAAAAAGTAAAAAGAAAATAATTTAATTATAGTTGACATGTTTCAAATATTGTTTGATATGCCCAAGAAATTAATACAACAGCAAGTAATTTTTAGCAAACAAAAAAACCGACATAAAAAAATGTATATATATATACATATTTCATGATCCACTGATCGGATCTAAACCAGATTAGTATGGGACCACCTCTGAGACACTACCTTTCCGATGCAAAAAATCGGTTGACGTGGTCCAAAGTTATGCTATTAAGTTAGGATAACCTCCTCCTTTTTTAGAAGTAGGTTAAAAATATCAATCGTTTTATGGGCATATCGACGGGTCGTTACGTACCAGTTGCGATAATATGAGGGAGCTTAAATTTTTTTAAAATAAGGCTGACGTTGTTTTGTCGAGTGCTGTTAGTTATCTATGTAGAAACTAACTTTCATTTTAATAATAACAAATTTGAACATTGAAATGGCTTTTGCCTATAACTTACAGTTCTTTTTCACAATTTACTGATATTGTAAACGAGTTTTGCATACAAGATATAGAGTTAGATACTCTTTTAGCGAATTCTTAGTCTGTAAAAGTCTTTGCTTAGTTGAAAAAATTAATTTAAGCCATGAGGAATTACAGATGAAGTCCCTAAATAGTAGTATTTTACCACAGTTTGAAAAAATATGTAATTTTGTTTTTTTTTTTCAATACCACACTCAAACAAAGCAACTGAGAGGATCTTAAGTATAAAGTTTGCTTCCTGGCGCAAAGAGTGAAACCGACTTTTGATTAAAATTTTTTAAAGAGAACTGCAAATTAAAAGTAAGTTTAAAATGAATTGTATAGAATTCTTTGGCTACTGGAAATGACCTCATTATGACTATTCAAAAATGTCATAAATATAAAATAATTTATTGGCTTCTGTGTATAATGATGTGTACACTGTACACTCATGTTAAAGTGCATAACACTTTTATTTTTTATAAACTATATTTTATATAAAATATTGTTAAATATTAATATTGTTATAAAATATTTTTAAAAACTAGCACTCTAGCGTTTTAAAGTATTATCTGTTACTTACATTCATAATTTTGCTTTGAATAAAAATGTACTGAAAAGTACTGATTTTTTTAGCATGAAAAAGTCCAACGTACTGATTTCGCGCATAAAAAATCTGGCAACCCTATTAGTATATTACATACATGATAGTCAACTCATTTATTCAGTGGTTTACATGTACATATGGATATGTAGCTATGCTTATGTAATTGAAAAATTCAAATGAAGTTCACTTACGTTTATTTTACAAAGTAGCTGGCTGACTTACGTGGTGTCTGCTGCTGCAGCTGGAGTCCTCCTTTGGCCATCACAAAATTGGAATGGACGAGCGAAATTTAGTCCTTTTCCACCGAACCTGCTGTTCAGCAAATTCTATGTTTCTTAATGAAACGAAAACAGTTGGTTCGGTGGACTATTGGAAGGGTGACCGTTATGTGCTTAAAATGATTTTTAAGATGACTTTTACTTAGAAGCGCGGCCACTCAGTAGGAAATTAATGACTTTAGGCTACTGGCCTAAACATCCTCATTAGACTTCTTCATCGGCGTTACTGGGATATGAACCAGCGACTTGGGATTACAAAACCAGCGGTCTACCCCCTGAGTTAAGTTCGCCACGAAAACTGTTGTTGCTTTTTCCACTTTTTCATATGTCAACCGAACTAAAATCAGGCGAAGCTATCTAGACTCGATCATGTGGTTGTTGCTTTTTTAGTTAATTTCTATTTTTTGTTAGAATTTTTACTTGGAGGCTTGCTCGTCCTTAAATACTTGTTTTTTGCTATTAATTGATCTAATAACAAATCATATTCAATAATTTTGTTGAGATTGAGGCCGTTTGTAATGAAAAATTATTGTGGAAAAACAACGATAGTTTTACAAATGGTAGAAGTTATAGCTGCCATTTCGGAGATCACCACATCTCATCAAAATTCTTCTTCAAATTTTGTGCGGGACTGCTAAAATTATTATCTTTTTCTTATGTTATTTAATCGTGAATTTACATATCGTCATTTAAATTATTATTTTGTGTGCCCATTTCAGGACAGGACAGGTCTTAAAACTCCTCTTGTCATCCTGGCTCAGGTATTAATGCAATACTTTTGTATGGGAATTGCATTTAAATGGTATATAAAGTGATGTATGTAAGCAGCATTTTATGTTATGAGAGCTAGTTTTGTCAAATGAAATGCCATATTTTTACTGAAACCACATTTTTTATTGCACCATGGAATATGTTATATTTTTATAAAAAAAAAAATTATGATTAAGTTCTATACATTATTATATTTTAAGACGTCCACCAAAATATTTCGGAAAAATATTAAGATTTAAGTGAGCTGGACAGATTTGAAAATACCTCCAAAAATGGAGATTCTTATGAATAAAAATAGTTTCTTAAAGAAATTTTTTGAAAAAGTCCCCTCAGATGACAAAACAAGTAAGGCTTAAAAAATCTGCATAAAAATATTTAAAAATCTTTTCAACGGAATCGTACCAATGAGATTTTTGATGCTGTTTGCTTTTTTCAAAGATGTGTTTTTACTATTTTCAAAGATTGATTTACGAAAAACTTAAATAACTGGGTCAAAACTATTCCGATTTAGACTTATGGGATCTCAGTGGAAAGGTAGTTTCCCACTCTTTTTATTTCTATGCAAAAAAGTCATTCGTCTCCCAATTTTTTTTCAAATACCAACATATCTTAACTCAACTTTGAATGATGTTCGTTCATCCTACCTTTCTCTTTCATCCTTTGAATGACCTTATTAGCAAAGAAATAAAAAAGGTGAGAAAGTACTTTTCAAATGATACCTCACAAGTCTAAATCGGAAGAGTTTAGGTTCAGTTATTCAAGTTTTTCTTATACCAATCTTTGAAAAAAGTTAAAAAACAGCATCACAAATCCCATTATTACGATTCCGCTCAAACTTTTTTTTTAATTTTTTTTTAATATTTTTATGTAAATTTTTTAAACTTACACCGTTTTGTCATTTGAGAGGATTTTTTAAAAAAAAATCTTTAAGAAACTATTTTTATTAATAAAAAACTCCATTTTTGGAGGTATTTTCAAATCAGTCCAGCTCGCTTAAATCTTAATATTTTTCCGAAATATTTTGGTGGACGTCTTAAAATATAATAGATTTTATAATTCCAATGGAAAAACTATATCGATTTATTTTTTTTTTGTATTAGGAGTGATGCAGTCTACTGTACATACATATTTGTATATCGTAACCTTAATGCACAAAGCCCTAAGCAACACTTTTTTCGAAACTGCGTTTTTCACAGATAGGGTAGGGGTGTTAAAATATACCTTCAGCAAAAATTTTAAAGTGTTAGTACCAAAAACAACGAAATTACATGCCACTTTTTAAAAAGCCCTACCTGTTTTTGATACTCTTTTTATAATGTTTTTTTGCTTCTCCTGTAAAATAAAAAAAATTTTGGTTAGGGCCGTTGTGAATTAATATGTATATTATAGTTAATGTATGTACATATAATATTTTCTCTATTCTTGCATTTTTAAATAGGTTCGAGCGAAATTCTTGGACGTGCCATTATTGGTAACTCTACAGAAGTACGTCCTGATGAACGTATATTTTTCGAAGAAATGTTTCGTTCCAAAAATTCAATCGCACAGTGGGTACCTCTACAAGAGACCAGCAACATGCGTTCCAATGTAGCCAATGCAACAACCAATGTTAACTAAATCCTTGATAACATCCTGATGTAAAATTGGATTTTAAGTTCACAGCGCCAGAGCTTTTTTTAATTTTGCAGAGAATTAACTTTGAACTGTTCTGAGACAGTAGAAATTTAACTGCTGGAGAATAACAGGTTTATTCTGCGAACAGAAATTTTTTAACCGGTAAATAAAGTTCCTGTAAATTTTTAAACCGGTGCTTGGCTTCACCATGTCCGCGGGAAAAGCTGTCAAGCTTTCTATATTAAATGTATACAAAGCGTGAAAGAGCTTTGCCCGCGGGCAGCCCGTGCCCACCAGCATTTCACATCCTTTTCGCATTCTGTACACTCTTGTAACCGGTAAATTTTGTTATAGTCCTTTAACTGAATTGCTTAATATTTTGATTGCATTACCAACGCATATAGAATCGCGGTGACAAGAAGGGGTAACATTTTTGGTAGCAAAAGTTTCCGGTTAGAAAATCCTTGGTAATGAGCAGAATAAACCTGTAATAATTGTATGTTTGTTAATTAGTTGAGGCTAGTTCGGTTTACAGGATTTAGTCATATATTACTGAAGATATTGCAAATGTGTATATGGAAACGAGGCATTTTGAATACATCCTGTAAACCGGGCGAGCAAAGGAACAGAGGGTAAATTAGTAGGTATGTATATTATTTTTTTCTCCAGTTCTCTTGGCAAACAATTTGCCTTATATGTATACTAAATATCAGAGTTGGGCATTATTCGAATAAATTGTTATTTAGATAATTATTCGAATAAAATTTTATCCGTAATATAATTATTCGCAGATAACTTATTCACGAATAAATTACTCGTGAATAAATTGCTTGCGGATAATTTATTTATTTATTATTTCAAATAACGAATAAAAACTCATTTTTAACACATTGAGCCACTTTTTACTTTTATTTCGTCTGTCAAGGATTGTGAGTTAGCTGAATTCTGTTTACTATTTTATCAAGAATACTAGCCCATTCCCTCTGGTTTCGCGGCCCCTGATAAGATTTTTTGCGTTGGCCAATGCAAGAATAGCGTTGAAACCCAAATATGGGTAAAGTAAAAATTCTTAATTTAGGTTGAACAACTAAAGAGCAGAACCCTTCTCACACATATTTCTGCCAAAAAAATAGCGCTCTGATGCTATATGCAAGAAAAAATTCCTTTCAATATCATGAGCTTTACCGATGGTCTTATTTCCACTTGTGAGATCTTTTCTAAGCGTGCGTAATCTTCTTCTATGATCTTGCAACTACAACATTGGTCCGATGCGTCGACCTCCAGTCTTATGTCATGTGGGCCAACAAAAGTTCTTATAAGGAAGCTGAAGAGCACAGATGTGCGTTTTCTATTATAGGAGAGCCACAAATCCTCGATGTAAAATTTGGCCATTGATATACCAACAGTATGTGGTCGAAACTTTCCTTGCTGATTCGCCACTTTTAAAATATCCAAGAGCTGGTTTCCTTGAGTCTTACTGCTGCAGCAATGGCCGCCCGAGCAATTTCATCAAGCGGAGATAGATGCAAGGTCGCATTTAGGGTGTATGACGACGTGAGACATCGTAAATTCGTATAATAGAAACATAAAAAACAAAGTAGTCCAGACTAATGATTTCGACTGCAGCACCATTATGAATTGAAACCTGATTGTACAATAAATAGGGATTTTCTAAATAACTCAACTGCAGCGCCACCTAGCGGGTCCATTTTTCGCATAAGTATTTTTCGTCATGCAGGAAGAACACATTTTGAATTTGAACGAAATCAGTTCATAAATACGGCTTTTATAAATAACTCGGATCCATCGCCACAAAGGAGTTTTCTAGTAGCCTTTAATAGGACTTTATGCGTATGGAATAACCTCCGAAAATTTGATTTAAATCTATCCAGGGGTTTAAGTTAAATCGCAACAACGAAAACGGTTATCATTTTATACATAAATATATGTACATGTATATGTATATACATAAATTACTTGTTTTATTATTATTTTATTCGTTATTCGAATAATTAGTGAAGATAATAATTATTCGAATAACGAATAAAATAATTTATCCGTCATTCGAATAATTTTTTTTTGAATAAACAAAATTATTTATTATTTACGAATAACAAGAAAAACAGTTTATCCATTTGTTATTCGTCATTCGAATAAATTTTGCCCAACTCTGCTAAATATTAACATCCTCAGATTTTTAAGTGTACCTATTTGTGTAGTAGATTAATAGAGTTGAAATATCACGATGAAATACATATATGTTTGTATGGGAAAAGGTAATGTATGGTAATGTATAAGTTCATGTATTACTCTTATAGTCTGCACATTACATCGTACATGAATCTAAAGATTCTACATAAACACAGTCAACGTCCTACGAATGTAATGTGAGGCGTGTCGCTTTGAAAATCGATAAATACATAAGTAAAGCAAACCAACTATAGTGTTCGAAGCGCAGGATTTAAACCCGCCGCAACATGTTTCCATTCTGCTAGAACCAGGGACGTGAACCGGATGAAAAATTTTGTCGGTTCGGTTCAACGGTTCGAACCGTTTTTGCACTTTTGGATTGGTTCGTCAAAGCGGTTTTTTGGTCTTTGAACCGGGGTTTAGGTTCGGTTCAACGGTTCGAAAAACAAACAAGTAATAAAGTCTAAGTTCGGGCGGAGCCGAACATTAAATACCCGGCGCAAGTATTAAATATATGATTTTCACCTTTCCGAAAACCACCCCAACATGGTATACCGGGGTGTATCAATTTTGAGTAATTTAGCGTCCTTAAATTTCGAAATATTGAAGTGTCAAGCATTTCTGAAATTTACCGTTATATGAAAAGTGGCCTCAGTTTTAGTCTGATTTCAATAATTTTCAACGTTTTGCTTTTATTTGGCAAGCGCAATAGCCATACGGAGTTTAGTATAAATTGGTAGACCGGTTACTGAGATACATATATGTGATCATAAGTGGGCGGTGCCACGCCCGTTTTCCAAAATTTTATCATAAACAAGTGCGCTCGGGTATAAAAAATAACGCGCAAGTTTAAGCGTCAAGTGCAACAACGCGCAAGGGTAAGGGTCAAGTGTCTGTCAAATGAGATGGGTTGCCATTACATTTGATATTGTCACATGGTAAACAAACATGGTAGGTATTACCATGTTTAACAAAAAAAAAAGTGGGTACATTTATCTATTAAAACTTAGTTGAAAGAACCTTTAAACCTTTATGGAAAGTGGTTCGGTTTTCGGTTCGGATCAAACATTTGTGGAAAATTTCGGTTCGGTTAATGGTTCAGTTAATTAATAGAAAAAAGTGGTTTTCCGGTTCAAAACCGGTTCGGTTCAAAACCGGTTCACGTCCCTGGCTACAACTACCTTTGACATACATCTTCTTCTTCTTCTTATTTGGCGTTGTATTTTGGCCGAGTTCAACAAAGCACGCTGGTCGATTCTCTTCTGTGCCAACTGATGCCGATTGGAAATCCCAAGTGAAGCCAAGTCCTTCTCCACCTGGTGTTTCCATCGCAGTGGGGGCCTCCCTCTTCCTCTTCTACCACCAGGGGGTTCCGAGTTGAATACTTTGAGAGCTGGGGCATCGATGTCCATTTAAACAACATGGCCAAGCCAGCGGAGTCGCTGTATTTTAATTCGCTGCATTATGTCCACGTCGTTGTAAAGCTAATACAGCTCATCGTTCCATCGTCTGCGGTAGTCGCCGTCGCCAACGCGTAAAGGCCCGTAAATCTTTCGCAATATCTTTCTCTCGAACACTCCAAGAGCCGCCTGCCTCATCGGACGTTGTCATTTTCCATACTTCTGCGCCATATATCATATGATGAGTGACTTAGAGAGTGTGGTTTTCGTACGTCGAGAGAGGACTTTACTCCTGAATTTCCTACCCAGTCCAAAGTAGCACTTGTTGGCAAGAGTTATTCTGCGTTGGATTTCCATGCTGACATTATAATCGGTGTTAATGCTGGTTCCCAAGTAAACGAAATTCTCCACTTTCTCGAAATTATAACTGTCAACAGTGACGTGGGTGCCAAGGCGCGCTTGGCTTCCTTATCCAACTTGAAAAAGGCAGAACAGACTTCGCGGTTTGTGCTACCTGTGATGTCGATTACATCGCAATAAGCCAGCAATTGCACGCTCTTGTAGTAAATTGTTCCTGGGCGGTTCAGTTCTGCAGCTCCTGTTATCTTCTCTAGCACCAGATTAGGGAAGTCTCACGAAAGGGAGTCGCCCTGTCTGAAACCCCGTTTGGTAGCGAATGGCTCGGAGAGTTCTTTCCCAATTCTGACGGAGCTAGTGGTATTGCTCAACGTCATTTTACACAGCCGTATGAGATTTGAGGGGATGCCAAATTCAGACATAACGGCGTATAGGCAACTCCTTTTAGTGCTGTCGAAAGCGGCTTTAACGTCGACAAATAGGTAGTAAGTGATTTGGCGTATTGTGAATATCTGGTCAATGGTGAATTTGCCAGGTCTAAAGCCACACTGATAAGGCCCAATCAGTTCATTGACGGTGCACTTCAGTCTTTCATACAATACGCTCGATAAGACCTTGTAAACTATGCTTAGAAGGCTGATCCCCCGGTAGTTGGCGCGAATGGCGGGACGCCTTTCTTGTGTATTGGGCGGAGCACTCGTAAATTCCAGTCGTCGGGCATGCGTTCATCTGACCACATTCTGCATAAGAGTTGATGTACGTACCTTATAAACTCCTCGCCGCCGTACTTGAATAGCTCAGCTGGCAGGCTGTCAGCTCCAGAAGCTTTGGGGTTTTTCAGCCGCGCTATTGCTATTCGTACCTCGTCATAGTCAGGCGGTGGAACATCGACTCCATCATCATCGACTGCGGCCTCGGGATCTCCTTCTCACAACTTTCCGTGCTACTACCATTCAGTAGGGCGGAGAAGTGTTCCCTTCATAATTTAAGTACGCTCTGAACATTGGTTATTAGGTCGCCATTGTTGTTCTTACAGGAGTACGCCCTTCCTTCCGTAAGTCGCCTAATGGTCTGATTATGCATACTTCGCATAACTTCGCACAACTTCGCATAAACTTCAAACTGTAATTTCGTATGTACTTTGTATGTATTCCATTACCCAGAAATTATCAGAACTTTTAAGAACTTAACGATCTGTTGAGTTTAGATTTTGCTTCACATTTTCTTTAGTTACTTTTTTAGTGCACTGGTACAAATGGTTGTGCGAAGTAAAATTTTCGGGCATTCTTCGCACTCACGTATTTCGGTCTCTCTTCTTATTGCGGTAAATACGTATCGCGTCCTTCTTCAGTTCCCTATAACGGTCCCACATGACTCGTGTTGCGGCCGATCGCAGTGTTGCCCTTTGACATACAAATGTATTATTAAAAAAAGCTCGCTTGCGATTTTTTTAAGATTCTTGTTTTCATGTTTACATTCAATCATAATCGACAAACTTTCCTTAATAAAAAAATTTTATGAATTACCCATTTTCCCACTGGGTATGTGTCCTAGATATGTAGATACCAAGGCATATTGAACAGGTAGTATCAGTAGAGTTGATTTGATTTTTTAATTATTTGGTCTCTAAAGTGTCAAATTTTTAAACTTCTTCTCACAGAAGTTCTTAAATTTCAAAATCTATATGCATGTGGAACCTTTTTCCATACAAAACAAGCGATTTAATAGCAGCTTTTGGAACGTTCACCGAACTCAGCAGCACAAAATCTGATTACTGGGCCTTGCAAAAGATGGATCAATGTTTCGAGAATCAAACATATTTACTAAGGCCCACTTGGAGAACATCCAGAGTTAAATTGTTATATCCCTAAACCAGACAATGTCTTGCAGCATTGAAAACTGGCCCAGAGTTAAGTAACCCGAGGGATTTCTAAATTAAGCAGACACCACTCTCTCTTTTTTGACGTTTGTTTATATTTCTTATAGATTTTGAATATAAAATTTCAAACACTTACATACATACATACTAGGCATGTTTCGAATGTCTTTTTTTTAAATTCGCGAATGCCAATGTTAGGAATAACATTAACAAAGCTGTAATCGACTTAAGTCATCGTTTTTATTAATTAAAAATTTTGTAAATTATTGGTCTGGCGACTATCATTTACAGGCCAAAAGTCGAGAAGCAACCAAATTGATTTGAAACTTAGTGTTTGGGGGTTTTTGAGGTCGCTGATTTCGTATATAATGTCCGGCTTTCGAAATTCAATATGGCGGATCCAATAAGGCGACCAAATTTTATACTTCTTTCCCTTTCACCAAAAACTTATGCATAAGCGGGGTTTTCAAGATCGCTGATTTCGAATCTGATGTAAGGTTGTTGGAATTTAAAATGGTGGATCCAATATGGAGACCAAATCTTATAACTTTCCTATTCTGCATAAACTCATATAAATGGGGCGTTTTCGAGGGCGCTGATTTCGAATGTGATAACATCCAATATGGTTACGAAGTTTTATAATTTTTTATTTTTCATCAAAGACATATATAAGAGGGCTTAGATCCAATATGGCGTTATCGGAAAAAATTTAGTTTAAACATTTTTTTTAGTTTTTGCTATATATTTTTTTCTAATCAGAGCTGCTTCAAATGAAAACTTTTTCCTTTAAAATGTAAGCTTATATTTGTATTTATTTGAAAGGTCACTAGCACAACAAGGATATTACTAATATTAGGCTATATAAAAAGTTGAAAAAATAACGTAACGTACAAGTTTAAACAAAAAAATGCAAGAATGCATTTTTCACCTACGTACTTGCATATCATTCTTGCTATTTCCTTTATGTAGTTGTTATATTCTTCGGATGTGCTCCGTCTAATAATTAGCCTGTTCCCGTACTTCACGATTTGCAGGATTTGCAGGTTTTACAGGAATAGCTGTTTTCGCCTTTAATGAATCTTATGTGAACGTGGAGTACGGGAAGGACTTTGGACTAAATCCTGCAAAACCTGCAAATCGTAGCCGTTCTGGGACGAACTAATTATTTCCCAGCAAAAGATTTTAAAATAGCAGTTGTTTGCATTTTGGTGACTACTGCTTTTCAAACATCGAAAAGCATGGCAAAACACACCTTTTCTATTAAAAAAAAGCCCATTATTCAAAAAATGCAAAAAAGTGCAACATGATTCTCAGCCCATAAACTTTAAATTGAACATTTTTATTGCCCGCAAAGCTTGAAGACCGTCAAATGAATATCTACTTCAAGTGGAATATTATTACCCAAATTAGAGTCCATTTTAAATAAGTTTTATTTTATTTAGCAAGCTATATGTTAGTTTTCTTTTTTTACCTCCCTTTTATTAGCTCGGGATGTAACTATGTAATATTGATGCGTCTAAAAGATGCACCGATTTCTATTCTCAAGTTACATACCTGATGACAGTACGAATGGAAATTATAACAGCGAGATTTTAGTTTTTTAAACTATAATTTTATTTTTTGTTAATCACACAAATATTCATTTCCATTCTCTGTTTCGAATAATCTTTCTCATTCGAAAATTCCTACCATTTCGAACTACAAGAATACTGACTACGAAAGAACTAAATTTTTAAGCTTTTAGTAGAAATGGCAGCTTTAACAGCTGATATCTCAATGGGAAAACTCTTTAGGAAAATAATGAGTATGTACCTACTTTTTTACTCTGGAGAATTAGTTTAGTGAAGGGACAAAAAAAAATCGATTTATCGATACTCTAAAAATGACTTTTGGCCAGGAAATAGTAACTGCCAGATCATAGTGCAGTGTTTTAATCTAAATAGTAGTCAAAATTGAAAAGGGGCATATTAAATTTAAAAAAAAAAGTAATTTTAGTTTAGTTTTCCACCAATCGAGAGGATTTTCACCGAGATAAGCTCGTTTTTCTTTAAGATAGGCCTTCAATTGAGCTTTAATTTCACATTTTCTAATGTCTCCAGATTCTACATCCGAGCCTTCGCTTTCACTGGGGGAACCTAAAATTATTTCTAGGTTGCTTATAAGACTTTTAGCAGTACTTGTGGAAGGCTCAATTTGCTTGATATACTACTTAACCGTTTAACGCCTGAAGCTAAAAACTGGTCATTGTCCGCACCCTGGTTAGACAGACTTAGAGCCATTTCAACAATATTAGAGTAGACTCTCTGCCCATGTAGACATTCGCATTCGCAAAATATTCGTATCATTTGATGCGAATGCGAATGCCGAATGCGAATGTGTAAAATGATGCGAATCATTCGCATAACGAATACGAATGCAAATATTCGCAACATCCTTCGTACATACATATATAGGTAAATTGTAAACTGGCCAGCGGCACTTCTGAGGGTTCTCTTAATTGGATGGACCTCTAACATGGTTGGTACATTTTAATCGCATATATTTTTTACGCCAGACTGACCGAAACAGAGCTGAAGGCCGAAAAATGAATACGTGAACATGTAAATATGTATGTATGTATGTATGTGCATATGTATGTGTCGCAGCACGCCCTTTCTACGGTATAATGTCGACGCTTAAACATGCATATGTACATATGTCTGCGCATCTCTATGTACATACATATGTACGAACATGAAGCCAAAGTACATACATGGATGCAGTTATTACATTTCTTCTTTGTATCCGTACTATTTGTTTGTGTAAAATTACCGCACTGCGTCATTCTTCTTTGCCTTTATATGCATATTCGCATGAGCTTTTGCAATTAACCTTTGCGCATCGAGAACGATAGGTTTATGTAGCTCTGAGCGCGCATAATTGAAGCTGTTAGCCGTCGTCAAGCAAAGAAGAAGGACACACTGCGGTAAGTAGTAACATCATTTTGTTTCGCATTAAAATTTGTAAATTGTTAATTTCCACTTAGAAATAAACCAGCCTTTGCGCCAATCCAGCCCGATTAAGGTTAAATTCGCAAGCGTTTTTATTAACTGAGAACGACGGTTAACAGTATGTATGTATGTACCCCCCAGTAGAAATCGGTTGTATGCATTCGTGAAGAATGCTTGCTATATGAGTGAATAGTGTGAACAATTCATGCGTAGTCATGAATTTCCACGAATAAATTCAAATTCCAGCGAATTGCAAGCGAATGAACGTTGTCGTTGTGTTAAGCACATTTCTTGATAAATTTGAAGTGGAATTTTTGTAATATTTCAGTCTTGTACAAAAATTTTAGTGAACAGACGTGTTGTGCGATACTATTTTCAGCACAAACGGGCTTCTACAAGATATGCATTTGAATATGTAAATGCTACTTGTTTGTATGTCCCCGTATTTTAAAATGTATCAGAAAAGTAGCATTTACATATGGGGATACATATCTTGTAAGAATGCTTTAATACTGTTCCATTAATGCATTTTTGTATGTTTGAAACATTAATACAGCCATATGCATACCGCAGTAGTACAAGTGCATGATTAAGGTACGCATACGCTCTGAGAAACCACGATATAAGGAAATGGAAATAAAGGTTCATTTATATTGGCATGTGTACACAGCAGCAAGCTCATGCCACCAACAGCGATGTCGTATGCTTAAAATTTCTGCTGGGTAGGCTTGGGTAACGGTGCACATTTTTTGGCGCTGGCGCACTAACTCCAGCGCCACTATCGGAATCAGCACAGTGTGTTGGCGCAATTGCGCCTCTTCAGGCTAAAGCTCATTTCCTTTATTGCTGCACGCTGCACCAAAGTAAATTAATACAAGGTGATCTCGGTTGAGAAAAAACTCAAGTATACCCAAGTTCAAAACCCAAAAATACAACAAACCCATCATTTTCACATTCAGAAGGACCGCGACGAATTCTAGCAACACCACCTTGTATAAATTCGCCTCGTGCTGTACATTTTACAAGAGACACTTCTATTTCGGGTGCTCTTGCAGGTTCTTTGCGACACCCGGTGTTGTCAGTGTTCCGGTGTTGAACTAAGGTGAATTTATACAAGGTGGTATCGGTTGGGCAAAAACAACTCAAGTATACCCAAGTTCAAAACCCAAAAATACAACAAACACATAATTTTCACATTCAGAAAGACCGCGGCTAATTTTAGCAATACCACCTTGTAAAAGTTCGCCTTGTGTTGCACATTTTACAAGTGACACTTCGCTTTTGGGTGTTCTTTGCTGGTTCTTTGCGCCGCCTGGTGTCGTCAGTGTTCCCGAGTTGCTGACGGCATTGCGTCACTGAATTGTGAAAATCGGTATCGGCGCCAGTAACTCAGCTCTCGGTATCAGCGCAATGGCGCGGCGCCGCACTGTGTTACCCACGGCTACTACTGGGTCTATAAACATTTTGGCGAACGTTCGAAAAGTACCTTCGATATCCAATGTGCATATCGAGCTGAGAACGAACTCATAACCAACCTTGGTTTTCCAACGTTCAGAGTAAATTTGAAATACACTCGAAATGGGTTCGAAAAAAAATTAAAACCATAGTAACAAGAGAGAAAGTGAAATCCAGCTCATTCTCGAAGGAAGATATGAGACAATCGCTCTCTCACAATAAAATTTCAATTCGATAATGGGCTGGATTTCGAATTCATAACGAAGGGAAAATACATTGGATAACGAAGGTGCCGTTTTGCTGGAGAATGGCTTTGTTCTCGAATCGAATACTAACCTATTGCACATTCGTTATCGAAGATAAGACTCGAAAAAAAGATTGGTTTTCCAATCATTTTCGAATTGCTAACCAAGCCCAATGTTTATTGGGTACATACATATGTTTTCAAAAATATTTTTGAAATCCGTTTATTTTTTCTTGTTACTGACGGAATTGACATATGTAGAGTTAGCAAGTTAACCTTCGAAAATTGCTGGGCTAAATATTTAACTGCTAACCATTGATTGTGCAGCCAATTTATCAATTTAACCGGTAAACTTCCTTCGGTACCTGTTGTTCTGCAAGTGGGCCTAAAAAAGAGAGTTGCAAACATTTATATTTTTTCCAATTTAAATTTTTTATTTAGTTATATTTCACATGGCGCACTTTGATTTACAAGAAAAAAATCAGAACAGTTTTGGACACTTTAAATACCAATAATGTTACTACCTGTTTTATATGCCTTGGTAGATAACTTTAATTTGAAAGTATTTTTTCATATGCTTATGCCGAATTTCCATTATGCAGTGAAATGACAAAAAAATTGGTGCCATTTAAAAAGTGCCATGTGCAAATGAACCTAATGACTATTTGATGCCCAGCTTTCTCATTACAATTTTTGCCATTTAATGCCTTTTGTAAATCCAGTATTAGTCGGAAAAATTTAATTATTTCCTACTTGAAGGTATGGCTAAAATGTGTAGATATTTAAAAATAAATAAATTGAAAAAAAACATATACGTAGATAGTTTTAATACAAATAAATGGTAAAAAATGATCGTAAAATGTAGTATGTACGGGCACAAAAGCACATGAACGCTTAATTAATTTATTCAGTATACTAATATTTATGCTTTCGAAATAATATAATATATACTTGTTCAACAATATCCACTAAAATTTGTTTAAGCTTCTACAAATGTATGGAAGACGCGCATGTGCATGTATGTATATAAACTTGTGGGAACCAACAAACTAAAAAGTAGAGACTATTAAACGTAAAATTAATGACTTTATCGAACTGTTACTAACTATTTAGAGTGCAATTCTCCGAAATTATATGTCCATACCTACCTAAAGTATATGTATAATTTATAATTAGTAACAAAAAAATTCTATGTAAGTACCACATATATACATATGCTATATTCATTAGATGTTTACGCGTATATACTTATGTATATACTTAATTATATCGAGCCTACACATGTTTACATTAAGAGTTTATAATTTAGCCCCATCTGGATGTTAAGAAAATGGCGTAATTAGAAACAAAAAATAATAAAAAAATAAAAAAGATATTGAAATTAAGACACTCAAAAACAATCTTTGATGAGAAATATCTATAACCTTATTCTCAAGTAGCTTTTAAACTTTACCAGCCCTTTAAACAAAAGTAATGTTATGTAAAAATTGATTTAAAGGGCAGATAATGTAAGCCACCCCGAATACTACAAGCTCGAACACAAACACGGGACGATTTCGAATATGAAGGCGAAAACCATGACGATTGACCAAGACGAATACGAACATTAATATGAAGAAGATTTGATTTAACCGGACATTGGACAACAATCTCTAGGGGCTGGTTTCTCCCACGCAACTTAAATTAGTTAAGCCAATTTTCTTGACCTAGCCAAGAATAAGCTGTGTAAAACGTAGGCTAACTTTCGACTTAAGTCCAAAAAGTGGCTAAACTAAGTTAAGTTGAGTTGGAGAAACCAGCCCTCAGAAAACTTTCTACAATATGAAACGAACTAGAAATGTATTGGAGCAGGTTTCGCTATAAAAGTGTGGCTCAGGCCACTAATTTTTTTATTTTTTCTGGAGAGTTTAGCTCTGATCCAGTATTCTATGAACTTACAGGTTTTTACACGAACTTGCAGGAAGTTACAGGAAAAATGTTCCCGTACTCCAAAATCCTGTAAATGAGAGCGATTTTTGGGGAGTTGTGTAGAGAATGAAGTTGCAAGATTTTACCCGAAGTTTTTCTTCTGGTAAAATCATGAAAAGTGTCAAGCGATAAGCCGTTTGACGTTTTTATAGTAAAATTACTTTTTTTGTTCCCGTAATTTTTGGATGTTATTCACTTTTTACTCTCACTTCTGAGAGTAATTTCGCTGCTTGACATTTTAACAGGATTTTACACGAAAAGTATTGGATCAGGAGTTTGCTCCAGGAGTGTTTTTAAGATTTTAAAACTCTCATTTTGGCCATTTCAAAATTGGTTGGAATTCTTCAGGAAACTTGTCCTGTTTCTACAGTAATTAAAATGTCCTGATGTTTAAATAATTTCTATGTACATTTGTAGATGCTCATTGGTGTGTAAATTTCAATAAAAGCACTAAACAAATTAAAGCGCGCGTTTTGTAGTAAACACAACTCAGTACAGAACTATTCAATAAATTTGCTCTTAAAGTATCTACATATATATATAACTAGCAGACCCGGCGAAATTCGTCCTGCCCAATTTTTTTTATTGAAACATTTGGTCCAAAGTTTTCACCAGCAATTCACGTTCACGTTTGGTTTTGTGGTCGACAGAAGGCATATCCTCCATTATCGTCTTAAATAACCTGCCGAAAGCGTTATACCTCTGCTACCACCAGCGGGTTCCGAGTTGAATACTTTCAGAACTGGAGCGTCGGTGTCCATTCGAACGACATGGCCAAGCCAGCGGAGCCGCTGTATTTTAATTCGCTGCACTATGCCCACGTCGTTGTACAGCTCATCGTTCCATCGTGTGCGGTACTCGTCGTCGCCAACGCGTAAAGGCCCGTAAATCTTGCGCAAAATCTTTCTCTCGAATACTCCAAGAGCCGCCTCATCGGACGTTATCATTGTCCATGCTTCTGCGCCATATACCAGCACGGGCATGATGAGTGACTTATAGAGTGTGGTTTTCGTACGTCGAGAGAGGACTTTCCTCCTGAACTGCCTACTCAGTCCACAGTAGCACTTATTGGCAAGAGTGATTCTGCGTTAGATTTCTATGCTGGCATTATTATCGTTGTTAATGCTGGTTCCCAAGTAAACGAAGTTCTCTACTTTCTCGAAATTATAACTGTCAACAGTGACATGGGTGCCAAGGCGCGAATGTGCTGACTGTTTGTTTGATAACAGGAGATACTTCGTCTTGTCCTCGTTTACCACCAGATCCATTCGCTATGCTTCCTTATCGAACTTGTAAAAGGCAGAACAGACTTCGCGGTTTTTGTTACCGTTGATATCGATGTCATCGGCATAAGCCAGCAATTGCACGCTCTTGTAGTAAATTGTTCCTGGGTGGTTCAGTTCTATAGTTCGCGAGATCACCTCTAATAAAAAGAAGGAGCTTCTGTTTATATAATTAGTGTAGGTAACACAGGGCAACACCGATTTTGATGCGGCAAATGTTA